ACTTGGGAGGCAGAGGCAGGAGACTCACTTGAACCCAGGAGTTGGAGGTTGCTGTGAGCTGTGATGCCACGGCACTCTACCCAGGGGTACAGCTTGAGGCTCTGTCTCAAAAAAAATAGAAAAATTAACCAGGTGTTGTGGCAGGCCCCTGTAGTCCCAGCTACTAGGGAGGCTGAGGGAGGAGGATCATTTGTGCCCAGGAGTTCAAAATTGCACTGAATTGAGATGACACCACTCACTACATTCTACCCAGGGCAACAGAGTGACTATCTTAAAGGAGAAAAAAAAAACTCTACAGAATCCCACATCCTATTTTTTTTTTTTTTAGAGACAGAGTCTCACTTTATTGCCCTTGAGTAGAGTGCTGTAGCATCACAGCTCACAGCAACCTCCAACTCCTGAGCTTAGGTGATTCTCTTGCCTCAACCTCCCAAGTAGCTAGGACTATAGGCGCCCGCCACAACGCCCGCTTGGTTGCAGTTTGGCTGGGGCCAGGTTTGAATCTGCCACCCTCGGTATATGGGGCCAGCACCCTACTCACTGAGCCACAGGCGCCGCCCTCTACATCCTATTTTTGTCAGTTTCATTTTCCATTCATTCACAGATTTTGAAAAAGTTTAATGCCTAAAAATATTCCATATTATATTCATATTACATTGTGCCTTTGACCTCTGAAAATTTTAAGGCTACTTCCACCTAGAAGAATATTTTATGTCAAAACACTAGTCTATATTTATCTTTTTTTCTTTTTTGAGACAGAGTCTAACTTTGTCATCCTCCAGAGTGCTATGGCATCATAGCTCACAGCAACTTCAAACTCTTAAGCTCAAGTGATCCTCTTGCTCCTAAGTAGCTGGGACTATAGCACCTGCCACAACGTCCACAGGGTCTTGCTCTTGCTCAGGCTGGTCTCTAATGCATGACCTCAAGCAAACCACCTGCCTCAGCCTCCCAGAGTCCTAGGATTACAGGCATAAGCCACCGTACCTGGCCTACATTTA